TCCCCCCGGGGCTGGCCCCCGTCCGGAGAGGGCCGGTACATGACCTTGTAGCCCTGGATGTACTGGGACTGCTGCTCCACCTGGTGGAGGAACGGAGAACAGCGGCACACAGACCCGGCAGTGGAATTACTGCTCAGTTTGATGCTTAGCAGTAGACACAATACAGGTAGACTTAATTATATATACACAAACACAACTGTAAAATAACACTAATAATAGAGGCCCTCACACAGAGGGGGAGTTGGAGACGCCTCCCGCTGCCGATCCCAGCCAGACGAGAGTTAAAATTCCAGGCCGCATCGGCCTGTGAAAACCGCACCATGAGGTCATTGCCCAGAGGTTCCTCAGAGTCTGGCGCTGGTTAGATCCAGCCGTCGCTCTCCAGAACGGTTAGCCCTGGCCAGCGCTCTCGGATCGGGTTGCCGAGGGCCCCGCTGTAACAACCAGTCACGTGACCAGGTGACAGTCCTGCGTCTCGCTGCCTTCGATCCCTATCCCCACCCTGACTACCCATGATGCAGTTCGTAATCGTGTCACGCTACGCTGCAGGGCCGACGCTGTCAAAAAGCTCCGATACAGACCCTGCTGGCTCCCTCTCGCCTGTGTTACACTGCCCCAGACGGATCACTCATTACAGCTTTCTTTTACGGCTGTTTTCTGAATGTATTTTTGATACAAATCTCCGAGCAGCAGCATACTGCATATGGAGGGGAGGAAAAACAGTACACGCTTGTAAAATTTTTAATGATATTTTTTTATGCCTCCCAATAAAAGCTGCCGTTGGTTCAGGTGGTCCTGATTAGGCTTGGCCGGGTGTCCTCTGGGCCTGGCTGGAGGAACCTGCGTAAGAACACTCACGCCAAACTCCCAAACTCCGATCCGCAGACAAAGAGACACTGGCTCCGAGTAAAACATAATTTTTTCGTTCAGTTTGGATCTCACTTCACATTGAAATGACTTTGTTAAAACAGGCACAAAGAATAACAAGTGCATGGCTCTGATCGTGCTGCCAGGCTCTGCAAGAACTTCTTGTGGGGAAACGTCCAGTGTGTTTCTAGAATGTTCTGATCACACAGGTTAACTCGGAGGCTTTCCCTGGAGGTTACCTTGTTAGTTATCTCCCTCTCCTCTACCCACTGAAGGGGACGTAAGGCTGTCCAATGAAAAACGTCACTAATCATTCTACCTCATGCAGGGTGCATCGCTCACCGTTTCCCTGGGACCACAGTGGTGGTCGCACAGGCACCTCCAGCGGATCGGTACACCTCACACCCCCGTGTGAGGACACCGCCAGCGCCTCCTCTCCCTCCTCCTCCCACATCTGTGAACCATTTCTCCCAGCGTGCGCCCGCTGGATGCCTGTCTGTTTTCCCCCCGTACTATTTTAACAGCGCTCCAGTGTTTCCAGTTTCGGAGGCCATTAGCCTGGCCTGCCAAGACGCGCACAGAAGCCTGTTCTGTTCTGAGTAGCCTGCTGTGGAGCTGGGATTCTGTTCTCAGGAAAGAGACACCTTGCGCTCTCTCGCTCTCTCTCTCTTGCTCTCTCTCTCGTGTGAGCAATAGCCAGTTCTAAACGACCCTGGCCGCTCCCAGTCCCAGCACCAGATGGACGCTAAGCGGCATTTGACAGGCTTCCAGTGTCATCTCTGTGTCTGTCCTCTGCTGTGCTGTTTGTTCTGGGACAGCCTAAACACCAGCCTTGTCCACAAAGAGCGTCCATTCCAGCATTACACACAGCAAAGTTTTGTCTTCATTCATAATCAGCAGTAGTGTGGCATAGCGGTAAGGAGCAGGACTTGTAACCTATTGGGGAACTGCTGCTGTACCCTTGGGCAAGGGACTTAACCTACAATTGCCACAGTAAATATCCAGCTGTATAAATGCATAAAACTGTAACCTCTCCACATAATCCACTCTGAATAACAGCGGCTGCTAATTGAAAATAATGAAATACAATGTCTTTACAGAGCTACGTCTACTTAAATTGCCAGCACAACTCTAAAGAATATCTCATTCATTATACCCTCTTAACAAGAATCATGACAAGGCTTGTACTGATGTGTCATTACATGGTTCACAACCATTAGTGCAGTACTGGTGCAATGTATATGGTGGCATGTGTGTGCATGCAGGTATTTATGTGTGGAAAACAGATTCATGTCTATGTGCAGCAGACAGCAGGAGAGTTGAGCGAGCTATCGGACAGCGAGGAGGGGCTTACCGTCCACTGCACCCTGACGGAGGAGGATGACAGGATGGTGGGGTTGTGTAGGTGGATGACTACATTTCCCAGCTCCCTCTGGACCTGCCGGTGGTCCACGCCCTGGCTAGTGGGCGGGATTTCTGCCGGAAAAAAACACACAATAGGGTCAGCGAATGGAAGGGAGGGGGCGTGGTGGCGGGAGGGGTGAAAAACAGGGTCCTGGGGAACGCTGCCGGCACCTTGCGTCTTGACGGCGTCACTGATAGGGCTGGGCTCGCTCAGGCCGTAGGCGTTGGCGGCCCGCACCAGGAAGAGGTAGACCGCGCTGGGTCGCAGGCCTTTCAGGACGAAGCTCTCCGTCTTCACGTGCTCAGCCAGGGTCTGCCAGCTGCTCCCGGAGGCATGGCTGTAGGGGGTGGAGGGGGGGCACAGGGGGACACTTGTGTCATTACAATACATTACTGTCATTTAGCAGATGCTGTTATCCCCAGAGTGACTTACATACAGTAGGTTACAATTTTATCAATTTTTATCCATTAAGTTAAGTACCTTGCGTACAACAGCAGTGCCCTAGTGGGGAGTTGAACCAGCAACCTTTTGGTTACGAGCCCTGCTCTTTACGACTACGCCACACTGCTGCCCCACACATGCAAAAACCACATACAAAGACTGCTCTGCTGCAGGACAGTCACTAATACCTCCCAGATGAGGCTGTTCCCAGATCAGCAGTGCCCTGACCAGTTTGGATTTCTCTGCTGTGGTCACAGTGTGACCTGGCTGGCAGCTGTGTCAGAGCAGTGTTTATGAAAAGGGACAGGGACACTGACTATGTAAGCTGATTTCAGATGATTTAGTCAGGAGGGCATGCTGGCGTGAAGAATGGACCTGTAGCACCAAAACACACACACACACACACACACACACACACACACACACACACACACACACACACACACACACACACACACAGAGTCACTCATCTACTAACCTGAAGGCCTCAATGATATAAGAAGTGGGCGTGGCTCCAGAATTAAGATTGGGCTTCCAGGACAGGGTGACGGAGCTGCGAGTGACATCTGTCACCTCCGGTTTGGACGGGGCGCTGGGGATCAGATTGGGGTCCGTGGGTCTTCCTGGCTGCACTGGAACTCCGAATTCTGGGAGAGAGAGGAGGGGACCGGGGGGTCACATGATCAGGGTGGGGACAGAGGGTGAAGTGCAGGGAAACAGAGAAGGTAAACCCATACAGACATGCTGAACCAATCTGCCACAGGAACAGCCACATCTTACAATGGTTCTGTGACTGCATTATGTGTCCTGAAGCCCTGCACCCTTCAGTGCCCTTTGGCTTTGGGTAGCGGTGTGAGAGGAAAGAGTGTTCGTCTGAAACATTTTCGCTCAGGTGTGCTTCCCTTACGTTCACCTGGCTCAGCTACAGCCTAAATCTGTGGCGCCCTCGGGGCATGGGACATCAAGGAGCACCGCAAGCATTTACAGACTTAAGCGTGTTTCACATCAGGTCTAATGTGCTGTACTGCTTCACCCCTCCCCTCTGCTCCTGCGCTCTGCAGCTATTGGCCAGTGGGGGATTACCTTGAACCTCCAGGTAGGCCTTCCAGGACGCTTCTCCACTGGGGGTGGAGGCAATGCAGGTGTACATGCCTGTGTCTCCCAGCTGAGACAGAGAGAGATGGAAAGACACAGAGAGAGGGAGAGACGGGGGGAAGAGAGGGGGAGCGGCGATGGGAAAAAAAGAGGCAAACAGTTGAAAATGAGCCATCTCAGTGGGTTGGAAAAGCAATCACAGACAATGCTTGCATGTGTAATTTGGCTTGAATATGGATAAGCCAAAGCATTGGTATTACCCCCCCAACCACTCTTCACTGACAATCAGGTATCACCTGGATATCGCCGTCATGGTAATGCCACAACCCTCACTCCAAACAAAAGCAAGAGAGACTAACTGTGCCAGCCCCAATGAATTTGCTCCTGTTTAATCGTGTCTTACAAGCCCTTATGGGCTTGGCATCACAGCGTGCATGACACTTAAATAGAAATCAATCAATCCATCCATCGAATGAATCAATCATAAAGCCAAGCCAAAGTTCAGTAGCCAGACTGTCAATCACAAAGTGAAGGAGAGAGGAGACTAACTGCAGACTCCTCAACATCCCTCTCTGTGAAGAGACTGTTCCTGCCTGAATACACGTGCACGAAGAAACAAACAACAAGGAATGGCCTGGATTTGTATCACAAACACACGTGCCTGTGTGTTTGTACGTACGTGCTTATGTGTATGTACCCAAGGAAATGTTTGCAACTGGAGGCTGTGAATGATGGAATGTAGCAATTCTTCCATAAAACAAGGTAGATACATCCATTAAGGATGTGAAAATATTTTCAAAATCGAAAAAGAAAGAGAGAGCAGATATTGTCGGCAGCGAAACGCGCTGTGTGCTGTGGGTAAATTCGGAGGGAGATCAGAGGAGGCCTGTCAGCACGCGACTCGTCCGCGTTAATTAAAACACGGCGCTGACGGAGCGGCGTGACGTGCCCTCTGACCCCTTCCCACGCCGAAGGGGACGGCGACTCTTCTCCGTCTACCGTCTACCCCCGGCAGCGCGTCAGACTCCGCACGCCTCCTGACTGACAGCGGAAGAGCGTGCTCGGCTTCACGCGGCTCGCGCGCCCTCCTCGCCCCCGGGCCGCCGTGATTGACAGCTCGACGAGGCCTGGGGGGCTGCAGAGAGGTGCGGGAGGGGCGTGGCCTCGCAGCCAGAGATGCAGCCGATTTAGGGCACCGGTACAGCATAGTGGTGAGCAGTACGACTCGTAACCGAAAGGTTGCCGGTTCGATTCCCCGCTGGGGCACTGCTGCTGTACCCTTGGGCAAAGTACCTAACCCAAAATTGCCTCAGTAAAATCTGTATAAATGGATACCATGTATTGTCACCTGTGTCAGTTGCTCTGGATAAGAGCATCTGCTAAATGCCAAAAATGTAATGTAACAGTAATTTACCATTGAAGGAAACTGAAAACACAGACGAAACACAAGAACACCAAAAAAACTGCCAGGTGGCATTTTTTATTTGAAAAACACTACAACTTAATTTGTGTTAGAAAGCTGTTCCCAATATGAACTTCTGTCTGTATTTTATATTACAGTCACTGACATTTTCAATTACATCATAATGTCAGTTTCATTAAAAAAAATCCACACTTGGTTTTCCGCATCACAGCAGTGGATTATACAGAGTGGGTTGACAGGTATGTATGCAAGATTTAATTGGATGCATGGTGTTAATTTTTCCGCGTTTGAGAGCACGGTGAGCCATTTAAAAGCTTGTTGGTGTGTTAGCAGGTGTTCGAGCAGTCATGTGAAAACTGAGGGACTCTCTTTGTTGTATAATTAGGTGAAACTGTGAGAACCTAACGCAGGTATGGTGGCATTCTCATGCATGCTACACACCACAATGTCTCCAGCGCACTGAAATATGAGGCAATTATCAGTATGTGTTAGTGCAAGTTTGATTAAGGGCAAGAGTAACGGAGACAGCTCCCTTCATTCAGGTAAGGGATTAAAATATTTACATCTGCGGACTCTTCCCTGTATAAACTGCCTGGTAAAAAAGCCTTTCTCTTTGTGTTAATATCACATAATGGATGCAGAAATCATCTTGAGCACTGCACTTTTCAGGGATTATGGAGTATCCAGAGATTATCATTCAATTTTCACACTTACGGTGTTCTTATGAATGGAACATCCTTTAAGACACGCACTCCCAAGGGGAAATGAACTCAGCACAATGGGGCCGCAGTTCCTTTTTACCATGCAGCGGGCTTTGCACAGACCCGTATATACATTATTCACACGCGCTGTTCACACGCACATCCCCCAAGAGGACGATCCTATCAAGCGATTGCGCCTGGATGAATTGATTTCAGGCAGCGGTTGCCGGAGATTACCGCGGCAACGCGCAGCGTTCGGGCACCAGTGGAGTCTCAGGAAGCGACATGCGGTTGTGCTTTCATGCAGCCGGTCCCTACATGGCTTTGCAGATGCGTGGGCGTGAGGACGCTGGTGTGGGACCAGGCTCGGACCCTGACCCGCCTCTTCAGACTGCATCTCGGTTCCACCTCAATCCCTGCCCCCTAACACCTGCTACTTGGAGTACTTGCTGTTTATTTTAAGTGTATTGTTGTGATGTATTTTGGATTCTCTGTTCTTGTGATCATGGTATACTTGGCTTCCCTTGTCTAGTCAGGTTGCACAAGTTAACTTGTGGTAGGAATAGTGTTATACTCACACTCACTGGTCTGGGAGTGCTGTTAGCCTGGTCTGACACTGTTGCTCATTTAACTTGAATGGATACGCTTCTGCTCTTTTGTGCTGGAAGTGGCTCTGGATAAGAGCATCTGCTAAATGCATGTAATGTAATGTAATTTTATGTAATGTTATGCAATTTTATGCAATGTAATGTAGCGCAATGTAACGTAATGCAATGTAATGTAACGTAATGTAATTTAATGTTATGTAACCGTTTGGGGCTCCGCAGGCTGTGAGCATAGCGTCCGTACCTTGGCGTAGCGGATCTGCAGGGCGCCCGTCTCCAGCTGCTTGACGCGGGAGTCGTGGGTGGAGACCAGCACCCCGTCCTTCCTCCACAGGATGGTGGGGGTCGGCGTGCCTGTCGCCAGGCAGCTCAGGACCACCGTCCCGTCCACCGCCACCGTCTGGTTCGTCGGGCCCTGCCGGATCACCGGAGGGGGGCGGTCCGACACCACTGCAGAGAGAGAGAGAGAGAGAGGAGAGAGAGAGAGAGAGAGAGAGAGAGGGAGAGGGAGAGAAAGAGGGAGAGGGAGGGAGAGAGAGGCAGAGGGAGGGAGGAGAGAGAAGAAGCATGAGAGGCCGTGTTAAGGTGAGAGGGAGAGGGAGAGAGAAGGGTAGCATGAGAAACAGTGTGAAGGAGAGGGAAAGAGGGAGAGAGGAAAACAAAGTATCGATGAGTGAGAGAATTGTGTGAAGAGGAGGAGAGGGGGAGGTGGACACAGAGAGGATGAGGCAGATGAGGCAGAGGAGGGTGAGGGGCCATAGAAAGGTTGAGGGAAAAAGAGGAAAACAGAGTGAAGCAGATTGAGGGAGAGGGGGAAAGGTGTGAGGGAAGGACAGGAGAACACAGACAGAACAATAGAGGAAGGAGGACAAAAAAAAACAACCCAGAATTATTCGCTGTGTGAAAAAGATACACCAGGAGAGAGAAAATACAATCCAATTTCCACAACTGAAAGCCACTTCCTAATCACTGAGCAGCAGGAGTTGACCTTAGCCAAACAAATGCAGGGTAATAAAAATTTTTTAAAAAATGCGCTACCATACAGGTCTTCATCTTCCTGCACCAGACTCCTGGCGGCGCAGAAATGAGCATTTCAAATCAAACTGAGGAGAAAACCAGCATGGAAACGCCCAAAGGCTGTAGCGGCACATTGCGATTAACATACAACACCCCCCCCCCCAGCTGCTTTAGGGGTACTCCCCGCAAGAACATGGAACTGCGCAGAGCTGCATAAATTAAATTACAAACGTTACGCAGACATCCCTTTTCATTACACGCAGAGAGGAGGCCTGCCATCACGTCCCTCCTATTGCAGATTACCGTTCCTATTGTTCCTGCCATTACCGTTACTGACAACAAAGTGCTTCCTGGCCGCTCCGCTAAGAGGCGTGACTTGCTATGAATATATTACGAGTTAGAGTTGTGTATGTATGTGTGTATATGTGTATGAGTGTGTATGTGTGTGTGTGCGTGGATTATATATGAAGCGCAAACACACACAGGCGCACAATGCGCCGACCGTCACCTCTGCGGTCTTGGGTGTTGGTGATGGTGTAATTATCAGAGCATCGCCGCTCTGACCCGCAATTACCAGATCTGCCTACAGAGAGCAGGCGGCCTTGAAGCCAGTCTCTCTGCCTTAATAACTGTTATTATTTATCTGTTGCTCTGCCAGTCCCCACCAGAACGCGTCACCGAGGGAGACATCTGCCCCCCCCCCATCAGCCTCAGAGGGAGACGCGGTCAAAATATCGGTGGGGAGAGAGGCAACCTTATGTTCGGTCACCATGGGAACGGGTGAGGGGAGGGGCCGCCTGCCTAGGGACGGATCTCTGTATTGATTCCAACAGCAATTAGCAGCTGAACCCGGCTCTCGCCACAGACGAGAAACCACTGAGCGCGGAAGACACCCGGCCACAAGTCTCAAAAGGAGAACACCATGCCAGTGTCCTAGCACATGGAGGAAACAGCCCAGCGGTCTCCTATAGAAGAATGAGTCAGCTAGTCTATAATGCAGAGGACATCCGAGGACAGACAGATTAAATTGCCGATACAGTACTCCTCTAATTTAGCTAATCATAGCCCGACCGAGTCTACATAAGGCCAGTGTTACAAGTCAGACACTGCTAATATTCCTGCAATCTACCCCACAACTGCCTGCACAAGCCAAACACTGTGAGCGCATTTGCTCTTAGGCTAGACTGTAAACAGAAGTCTCGCTCTCAATTTCCGTGTGTTAGTCTTAATAAATGACATTATTCCACTAACTGGGATTGAGCTTTGGCTAAGAACACAAACTGCTTCAAGAATCCTCTATGGACCTGTATCTGCTGAAGGCCCCTCTCAACCTCAGCAGAGTTTGCAGATCCTTTCTGTATGAGACCTCCAATCTTGATTGGACCATAAATTTCCATTTTGAGGCCATCTCTGAACTGTACAGGAAAGTAAATACCTATTTTAACAATTTTTCTCCCTGGGAGGCAACATGTCTACTCTCTCTAATGGAGGACATGTCTCTATTTTGAGGTCCCCTCTCTGTGGAGGTGAGGCTCAGCGTACAGGCCTCCCCCTCCCGGTTCGGGCCCCTGTCTCGCGGTTCCTCCCTCACCGTCGGTGACCTCCAGCAGGGCCTTGGTGATGACGCTGCCGGCGATGTTGAGGGCCTGGCAGCTGTAGTAGCCCACGTCCGAGCGCTCGGCGTCCGTGATGGTGAGGTCGCCCGTCTGCGAGACGGAGAAGCGACTGGAGGGCTGGGGCGGCTGGTAGGAGAAGAGCAGGTTCTGGGGGACGGACAGAGGGACAGGGACAGACGGACAGGAGGTGAGCAGCAGAGGCAGAGGCGCAATAGCATGAAGCACATGGTGATAGATCCATTTGGATCTGGTTTTGATCACGTGGCAGTCTTGTTCACTCATCGGGTTCACTGTTGTTAAAAGGAATTATTTTCTGGAAAGGGGTTGGGGTTTTTTTTTGTTTCAGAGGTTGTTGCTGTTGGGGGTTTCTGGAGCTGAGCTGCAGTGGTGTTACCATGACAGCATGAAGCGCACGGTGACAAACCCATTTTGACTGACTGATCATGTAGCAGTTTTGTTCACTCATCAGATATTAAAAAGAATATTTTATAGAAAGGGGCTGTGGGTTTTTGTTTCAGAGGTTGATGCTGTTGGGGGGTTTCTGGACCATGTCACATGAACTCCACAGCCTCCAGATTACAACATTATACACCACCCTCAACGTGTGGGCAGAGGGAGACCTGATGGTGGTGAGAGGAAGCCCACTGAGAGGTAAAGAGTTTAACGATTACTCTTTTGAAAAGGATGCTTCGGAAGGCCCTGGGCTATTCTGGAGGTTTAATTTTCTCTCTGGCATGTTTTTCTTTTTTTCTTAAAAAGACTTATTACTTCGTATTATTCCATGGTCTCTGATTTTTTTTTTTTTGAATGAGATGACAAAGCTGGCCAGCTCAGCCATACTTCCATAACAAAAACAGATAATAATTCCAGAAATGAAAAAAATAAAGACTGAATTTTGGGAGGA